AATGCAGGAATATAATGTCAACTTTGGAAAAAGTGCCACTGAACTTTCTACTTTAGTCTAATGGATCTTCGCCACTACATGTATTCAGTTTGCATCAATATGTTGTGGGGTTTCATTTTGATACAAATTAAGCACATGCTGTTTCATCTACAGCCCATGATGGACCGGAACAAAGCGGAAGATCTTCCCAAACTGCAGTGTGGTTTCATTGATTTCGTCTGTGCTTTCGTTTACAAGGTGAGGTCCTCCATTTTGATTAGTAAACAAAACGACATATGGGAATTCATTGATCTACACTTCTAAATGTTCACAGGATCCAGACGAGAGTCCATCAGGAAGCAGATACATAATCATCAGCAAAAAATGCACCACGATGGTCTTGATCAGATGTCTGTATACTTGACTTTTATTAACTGTGAACGTCAGAATGCAGGCCTGCTGGAATTAGAGAATGTGAAGTAAAGAGTCACAGAAGTAGGAGTGGGGGGCAATTGCTTTACATATGAATCGCGATTCTATCTTCTACTGATTCAAATCCTTTACAAATTTCAATGTTAGTTAATAACAAAAAATAAGTCTTGACTGCATTTTTTCAGTGTGATGTAGCTTATTTGAATGCAGTTAGAATGTATTCTAATCTTTTTGATAAAAATCGGAGAGATTTCTGTCCCTCCATTGACAGCTGCGCAACTACTACTTTGATGCTTCAAAAAATTCATAAAGAGATTGTAAAACTATTTGAATTGATCGGTTTAGTCCAAATTTTCTGGAGAGACATGATCGCTTTATATGATGAACAGATTGAGTTTAGGCTTTTATTCACATATAAACATTCATCAACTCACACATTAATTGTGGTAAACGGAAGCTCAGGTATGTACGCTTGACATGCGAGAACCAAGCACGTTTGAGTTTCAGCAAGAACCAATGAGGTTCATTCTCGAGTTACGCAGGACGTTTGAGCTTCTGCAAGAACCAATGAGGTTCATTCTCGTGTTACGCAGCACGTTTGAGTTTCAGCAAGAACCAATGAGGTTCATTCTCGTGTTACGCAGCACGTTTGAGCTTCAGCAAGAACCAATGAGGTTCATTCTCGTGTTACGCAGCACGTTTGAGTTTCAGCAAGAACCAATTAGATTCATTCTCGAGTTACGCAGCACGTTTGAGCTTCTGCAAGAACCAATGAGGTTCATTCTCGTGTTACGCAGCACGTTTGAGCTTCAGCAAGAACCAATGAGGTTCATTCTCGTGTTACGCAGCACGTTTGAGCTTCAGCAAGAACCAATGAGGTTCCACAGTAAGTTTTTATGATATGGATAGTTAGGATAACAAGATCTTGAATGATGTAGAAGTTTCTTTATTAATCAGCAATTTTACCCACTTTACCCACCTCCAATACTCCCCCTTTACTCATGTCCCATCCCTCTTGCAGGAGTTCTCTCGCTTCCATGTGGAGATCACGCCCATGCTAGATCGTCTGCTGAACAACAGGAAGGAGTGGAACGCTCTGAAGGAAATACACGAGGCCAAGTTAGCAAAGCTGGAAGAGGCCAAGAAAGCTAAAGAGGAAGCAGATGCTGCCGCATCAGCTGCCAGACAAGGTAAATAGTGACTCAAACTGTGTATCAATGTTTCTTAATTGTCTTTTTGGGATGAACAATTCCTTTTTGCTCATTTAAATGTTGTTTCAAACCTGTATTATTTGTTCCTTGTGTGGAACACAAAATAAGATGTTTTAAAGAATGTTTACACTGATCTATTACATAAAGTGAGCGCAAAATGACGCATTGGAATCAGAAAAGTCCATGCGTCTACTGCGGAATACAAGATTTTTAGTGAATAAAGACTTACATTTCAGTGTTTTTCCCCCCACAAAGCTATCATATGACTTTATACGGACTACTTTTTTGGTGCTTTTTTGTCTTTTTGCATTCAATGTAAGGAAAAAAGCAACATGAACATTCTTCCAAATTCATCCTTTTGTGTTCCACAGAAGGAAAAAACTTGTTATGGGTTTGAAACAACTGAAGAGTAACATTTTTGTTCAAACAAAAATCATTTTTACAAACAACTGACAATTGTCATTTTTCTGCTTTTCCATATCTACATTCTCTCCTCACAGAAAGCGCTGGCCAATCCTCATCTCAGTCCAAGACCTGTGTAATTTCCTAGACGTCAAACCGCAAAAACAGACAATAAGAATGTATGACACTGTACCCATAATTTGGGCCACTTTTATTTTTTCTCTCTGCAGGATATTCCTTTGTCAATTATTTGCTCTAGTCTTGAGCTTAAAAGTAAAGAAAACCCTTTAGTGTGTTTAAGTAACAGACTATTGCAACATTTCCCACACCAGGTTTATGTCATCAACAGATAGTTTTCATAAAGCTATAATTATCAAACTTTAGTGTATATTGGCTGAAACTGTACAGAATAGAATTCTTACATACTAAATAACATTTTAGAGAGCACAGTGTGAATACACTTTAAAAGTCCACGACAATTTCTTTTTTAATTATTACTATTTATATGTAGAAATGTATAAATAAAAGTGAGGAATTGTTGAGCCAAGCCTCATCTTTTAAAGCTTTGTAACTGTGTTGCTGTGCAAAATAAGAATTCTGCCCCTAGGATGCAGTATGCTCGGTTGCACTTGTGTGTGTGTGTGTGTGTGTGTGTGTGTGCGTGCTAGTACTAACTGTCCCACTGGGACATACATAACAGTCTTACAAAAGCATTGGATAACACCTAGGGGGTGTTGGCCTAATCGACTGAGAAGGATGAGAGCCGATTGGCAGGACAGCAAATAGAGGCGGACTCAATGCTAGCATTTACGTCATGTCAGACGCAGTCACTGCACGTCAACGACTATGATGTCACGTCTTCTGCTACATTTACCCCACTCCCACAGCAAAGAGGTGGAGTCAAGAAAATCTGCAACCACTGCAAAAGCCAAAATAAGCTCTGACGTGACAGCAAATACACACGCCTTTTCAGATAGATGTGCACCCCCCACATACACACACGCAATGCCTTAGGGAATGATTATTCTGACTGACATCCGAATCACAAACCAGCAGAGCGGCAAATTGCCACCAGCTCTCCGAATGGCTGCATTAACAGTGGTCTCATTCAGCATGTTCTGCTACATACCCTCCGTGAAAGGAACCGCCACAATTAGCTTCAATTATAGGCAGTCTGCATGGATACAACACAGAACACCATTTGCTATTGGCTGCCATTTCAATGCAGTAACCAATCAGACTGTTTCCAGCTGAGCTATTCTGTTTACGCAATAAATGCATTGTAATGTCGTTTGGAACATGGGGGGGGGAGTGACGGTCTTAAAGCAAGTGCTGCTGGGTTTTTCAAAATCCTCTTTTTGAAGTTGCCGTTCAGCACTCGTTCTAAGAATAGTGTTGATTTCTGTGGAAGGTATTATTGCGGTTTACTGCAGCATTCAATTTTCTGGCTTACAGATAGTAATGCAGTACATCATGTACATGAATGAATTACAAAGCTGAATGTTGTTCATTATGGATTTTATTTTTTTGGAGGCAAAACAATGAATATATGTACTTTTTTTTTTACAGTATATGAGGATCAATTTCTTTCTACAGTTTAATAATGTAAACAATCTCGGAAGAGAAATGTGTTCAGTTTAAAAGGAAGCCATCATTTGCTTTTTTAAAACTATTTACATGAATTAAAATATAAATTTATGACATCAAATAATTCCACTATATAGATTTGATCTAGGAAACTAGATTTTAACCATTTAAAAATACTGAAATGCATTTGTCTCCACATTCTCAAGATGTGTATGAAAATCACACAATACCGAGAGAAAAAAAAGTTGAAACTAAAACCAACATCATTTCAAGACACCCAAACCTGGACAAATATGCAACCTGGAGTGGCATATAAATAAAAAACCTCAAAATGAAACAAATGTGTAAAAATATAAAATCTTACTAGCAGTATTTACCAAAACCTACGTTAAAAAAGAAAAATCATAGTGAATTTGATAGTCATTAGATGTAAATAGTCACACAAAAAAAATCATTAAAATAATACAATGAAAAAAAATGCCCTTTTGACTAAAATTTTGTTTCCACAAAAGACTAGGTCTTGAAGCAGCAAAACAATGCGACATGGATGTGCGATTCATTATCTGATGCTCTGGCACCGTAATGACAAACTTTAGATCCCCTTCTTGATAAAAATTATCAAAGGTTTAACACAGACAATATAAACTTTCCCCAAATATAATCTGCCGACTCAATTGGAAAATTATCTCCAATCTTGCAAGAGCATGTACTTTGTGAACAACAAATTGCAGGGCCATAGATGTAGTGAATTAAAAGTGACGTTTTGTATGAACTAAAAAAAAAAAAAGTGGAAGAAATCAGATGTGCACACACACACACACACACACACACACACACACACAGGGCCAAGCCAACGATCATGACATTCGTGAAATGGATTTGATGTGATACCGCACTTCTCCTGTATCCAAACATCAAATGTACTTTTTGGTCAACTTGTCTAGCGATTGCTAAAATGAGGGCTGGAAAAAATGTATTGCATTGAAGAAGGTTCCCTTTGGAAGTTTTTTTTTTTTTTAATCTTTTTTCTTTTATTTTTAATTTGGATCTGTACATTCTAGATTGACAGTGTTGAAATGTATTGAAGTGTTCTGAAACACTGAATAAAATGATCTATAACAAATTATATCATCTATATATTTATCTACACAAACACACAAATATATATATATATATGTATATATAATTATATATATGTATATACCTTTTAATATGGCTGTATTGAAAAAGTTTACTTACTTTAGTAAAGAAAACACAATGGATTGTAAAGGAGATCAGATAGGACTGATAGCTTTGTTTTCCCCTAAGGTTTAAGGCTCTCCTTGTGAGATTGGGCTGTCTGTATTTTCCTTGAAAAAAGTCCTTAAACGCCGACCTTCTTTGTACAACATACAGTACAAGATCCGATTTCCCCTATAACCCTAAAACAACCAATCTCTTCAATGAGAAAGGCTCTCCTAGCGATATTGCATCTCAATTGCATAAAAAAGAAAAACATGTTAAAGTAATTAACAAGAACCATTTCTAAAGGGACACTTTATACAACAGTGTTTGACTTATGAAGCCATATCAATGAAAATTCCCTTCTGGATCTCCCTGTATTGCTTAACGCCGCATCATCGGGTTCACCAACAACCAATCAGACTCACCATTTAAAACCACACGTTTACCACATCGCTGTACAGCACATAACCATACATCTCATGTTTACACAAGACACAGTGCTATATACACATTATATACTTCTATTTATATATATAATCATGTAAACCAGCACATCTCTCACTTAGTATACATACTAAGCACAAACACTCATTCAGTTTGTTTTCTCAAGATCTTATTGGGCGAAATGGTCTGTAATATTCAGAGGCCGTGTCCAAGTAACAAGCCCAGTACCGTAAAAGGGAAAGCCGAAAGGCACGTCCTGATAGGGTACTTTAACACTGAATAAGGCGTTCTGTACTTAGTGTGCGCTCTAGTAAAAGTCGAAAGAGAATTCAGTCATGTAAACATTCAGGTTTGGGGGGTGGGGGTGTGTTTCGGGATAAAGGGGAGAGGCAGGGAGCAAAGAGCCGATGGACGGCCCTCCCTAAACCAGCACGCGCATACATGCGCTCACTCGCTCACAACTGCACTAAATCCACAGGCCGAGGGTTCGAGGAGACCCCCACAGAATAAAAGCAACGGGTCCCAGCATATAATAAGGGACAGAGACCCATCCCTAGACCCCATAAAAGACACGGACGACACGCAGTTATACACTGGTACACGTTTAGACTTCAAAAAATACACACAAAGGACAAATAGAGAAGTAGCCACAAGGTAAGAGCTAGAAAAAACCCGCAGATCTTCCCCTGTCAGAAAGGAGAGAGTAAAAAAAGAGTGTTTGAGCTTAGAGAGAGAAAGAGTATGAGAGAGTGACATGTAAACAAAGCAGAGATACGACCGTATCTCTAATGAGATTGAGCTCTGGAAAGATCTTCCTCCTAGTTTACCGCTACCCTTCTCTCAACCGATGACAGGAGCGCTCCAATGAGTCGACCGCCTGGATGCCGGTCAGGGCTATGCTACTGGCAGAGTCCAACCACTCAACTGTACTTTCAAATCAAGACCAATAGGATGGGCATTACAATCGCATTTGTGATGGGTACATTCCATTTCTCGGGAAACAATCAAAACCTTTCTGTCACCCACTGGATTGGGTCGCGTTCTGGCAAATAAAACAGTAATGGAAACGGGTAAGTTGAAGGTGAAGAGTAATTTCTGCGTCAAAAAATGGAAACCGGTTAACAATTGGTCAACCAGATAGATAGCCCCGCCCCCAAACTCACACCATTGGCTGTGTCAGGCTGCTCAAACAAACAGAGCGATATTTTGATACACTTTGCAGGATTTGTGATTACTTGAATCTCTTCATTGGATAGGAGAGAGTATTTTATTGTCAAAAAATGAGCTTTAAGGTAGTACAGTCGGGCTTGGACTCCAGCAGCAAAAGCCCCTCCCACAGCAGAGGAGGGTAGAGGCCAGACCAAAGAAGCACTACCTCGTTTGAGTGCATAGATGAAATCAAGGAAGCACTAAAATTACAAAAAGACTACTTTTTTCTTGACTTTTTGATTTGTAAACTCTACCTTGTAGGATTTTTTTGTTTGTCGTTTTTTCCACTTTTCATCATAACACACACACGCACACACACGCACACAGAGTTGAACATCCACAAAGTTTTGCTAATACAAAGCAGTTATTGTTTATATATTTGTACGACAAAATGGTGAAAGCACCTTGCAGGTCTATGAAGAGAAGACAAAAGGGGTACGAAAAAAAAAAAAAAAAGAAAAACCACACGCACGTCACAACTACCAATGGAAAAGAGTGCGGTTTGCTACGAAGCCCGAGCCGCTCGCGACGTCATGAATGGCATCAAACACACACGAGAAGCAGCACTTGTGTCCGGTGTCTCAGAGCCGTTTCTGTTCATTTGTAATCCTCCCGCCCCAATGTCCTCCGATTCCTCAGTTAGAAGTGACAAGGTCTATTTTTTTAATCCAATGTTCAAAATGTAAACATGAAGAAGTGCCTTGGTTGAGGTGCTGAGGCGAGTCTCGGACGAGGCGTGACGCTGGAGGCGTGGTAAGCTGTGTCAGCGATGCAGGCTTCTCTGGGCCTCTTTCAGCAGAGCGTCAAAGTCCAGTGCATCATACTTGCTCTTCACCGGACCTGGACCCGCCTCATCTGAACAGCAAAACACTCACAGTTAGTTTGTAACACTAAAGAACATCAAATTAAAATTATATTTGGTTACAAATAAAAAAAAATATATATATTAAATTAATTCTACATATTATTATATTATATTTATTATATTAAGTAATAAAATACAACAAATACTACAATTGTGCATAGACAGAATAGCAAGGTAACTTTAAAAAAGGAGAAAATGCTTCCCGTATTTTTTGGTTGGTGTTTGAATTAGTTTTTATTTTCACATTTTTTGTTTAATTTTAGTTTGTTTTAGTTAGTGTTTTATATGGAAGCTTGTTTCCGCCACTGAAAAAAAAAAAAAAAAAAGCTACTTTTTATCTCACAATTGCGAGATATGAAGTCAGAATTGTGAGAAATAAAGTCGCAATTCCGAGATATAGTCGCAATTCTGATAAATAAAGTCGCAATTGCGAGATATAAAGTCGCAATTATGAGAAAAAAAGTCGCAATTGCGAGAAAAAAAGTCAGAATTGCGACTTTTTATCTCACAATTCTGACTTTTTTCTCACAATTGCGATCGCAATTCTGACTTTATAACGCATCTTTTCTCAGAATTGTGAGATATAAACTCGCAATTGCGAGTTATCAGTCCAATTCTAAGGGGAAAAAAAGACTAACTTTTTTCCCCTCAGAATAGTTTATATCTCACAATTCTGACTTTACAACACGCAATTTCGACTTTATATCACGCAATTCTGACTTTATAACACGCAACTGCGACTTTATACCAATCAATTCTGACTTTATATCACGCAATTCTGACTTTATAACATGCAATTGCGATTTTATATCACGCAAATCTGACTTTATATCTCGCAATTCTGAGAAATAAAGTCAGAATAATTGTGAGAAAAAAAGTCAGAATTTTGAGATAAAAAGTCGCAATTACCTTTTTCATAGTTTTATGAGCTTTCATAGCTTCCATAGTTTTATGAGCTTTTTAAAACTTTTCTAAAACTTTTTTTCTATGTACCTTAATTTAATGTTTATTTAAATGTTAGTGTAGTGATTTTAGTAGTAATTTAAGTTTTTCCTCATAAAACAATTTCTTTTATAGTTTTAGTTTTAGATAATAACAACACTGCTTGATAATAAGGTTATTATTATTTATACAATATTTGTCCCAGTGTTTTTTATCCATCCATCCATCCATCCATCCATCCATCCATCCATCCATCTATCTCATATATATTGACCACTACGAGGACAGCATTTTTGTAATCTTTATACCCCACCAAACTTTGATATAGGCTAGTTATAATGTGACTCAGCACATTAGATTGGATGAGTTCAATTTAAAATTGAACAAATCAAGCAAGCTGCTTTTTCATTATCATTGTCATTGTCTGGAACTGACTTCACACGTTGTTTTAGTCCCTCGATTTGATGGTATAGCAAAGCACTGCAGTGTACCGGCCTGACTATAATTAAAACGGCACCCTGCTTTTTCAAGTGGGCCAACCAAGAATCCAAAAGTCTTTTTTTTCCTATTTAAATGCAAATGAAGTTGAATTAGGCCGTTTATTAGCTTAGAAATGAAAAGACACCTTCCTCTGACTCAAAACAGAGCACCCTGATGTAAAGAGAACATCAAAGAGACAGAAAGCTCTCTGTTCGCTTACCCAGATCTATATAACGCTTCCTGCCAAACCGCCGGCTGCCGTTCCCTCCGCTCGGACCAAGCGAGTCCCACCTGTGCCGTGAGGTCTGGCCGTTCTGAGTGGGCCTCAGTGTGATCACTCCACAACGCTCGCTACACAGGCACACAAACACAGAGAAACATCAGCACTCCTTTCTCCCACTCACTGCTGAGGGCATGAGAAGGTCAGGCAACTAGACGGAAATGGAACCCACTCGGTTTTGATGACCACTTTACAGTCCTCTGGAAGGCCGAAGGCCTCGAAGCGCTTACGCAGCATGGACTGAGTGACGCTGCTCGGAAGGTTGTGAATGTAGATCACTTGGCACTTGTTCTGGAAATGCACAGCTTATTAGAACAAATACGCTCCACAGCACTTAAAGGAAATGAACAAGATTTCAGATGGATGTATGCCTTTGATAATAAGGTTAGTGCTGCAAGTTGGCTTGAAAACTCAACCTACCACATCATTCTCTTGTCCACACTTTGTCTTGCTCCTTTTTTCAGTTGCTTCGTGGCATGTCTCTGAGCTCTCATCGCTGAAAGAAGGATAACAGGGCTGAGTTATTCAAAATGGCAAAAGAAAGTAGCTAGCGTCTTGCTAATAGCAAGCTGCGCTGGGATTTATGCAGCATTTCATTTAAAGACTGATGTAGGATATTCCTCCCTGATATTATGAAAATTAATCATGGTTTTAATATAGTAAAAGTTCATGATTTTTGGCGGATTGATTACCATTTGTATAACCATAGTTTTACTACAAATATCACGGTTAAACTATGGTTAGTGTTGCAAAAACATGGTTAATTTGTGGTTACCATGGTGGAACTACAGTAACCATGGTTGTTTGGTTCTATTTGTAGTGAAACCATTGTTCATTTTCGTAAGGGATACCTGACTTCCAAACATAAAGGTGTTTTACTCCCTGACACTCAAATGATGACATATAAAGAAACAAAATGGAAATGCTAACATTAGCTTAGCAGTTGTTTGACTGTCAACAAACCGTCTTAGCAAATGATAAATGATGTTCTGCTGCAGCTTTTTTGTTTTCTTACAAAAACATGTTTTCTTATATAATGCTGGTTCTGACAGGGATTCCATCGATATCGTTCCTCTGTGTTGTTACGGTTATAGCTGTGATGTGGATTTCCCTATTATCCCTATTAGAAATTAGAATAATTATTAAAAATGTATAGTTATTGTCCTTGCTGTGAACGTGTCTTGAAACAAGTAACACTCTTTATGCAAATACCTTATTAATAAATAAACAGTCATTATGTAAATGCCTTGTTAATCAATAAATGCTTGTTAATAAAAGTTTATTTAACAGGACATTAGACACCAGTTACCCAACTCTGTGCTAGCTACATGTATGGTATGTCTTTTGTTAATTTTTAGATTAATCTTGCATCATTAAGACACTAACAACAGTCAGTTATAGGAATTATTAAATTATTACTAGATAACAGCTTAACTACATTTTACTGCAGCCTCTGCCATTTTGAGTGTTTCTGAGTCTTCAGAACTCTCAACTCTTCTACATGGTCGTGAATACTTTTTAGAAGTCGAAATCCCATCATTAAAAATTTCGACATGGCATGAACGCACCTTCATCAAGGCATTTTATTTCCCAGAGTGCTGCTACGTTTGTGTGACATCATACACATGCATTTGGACTTCAACTGGCGATATATTGCACTTTTCGAAGTCGGAAGTCAGAAAGTTCAACAAAACACAGCAATAGAAAAGCCACCAGAGTATTCAGTACCTGAAGGGGAGTTTGCAGCTGGGTGACGGGGGCGAACAGGAAACTGGGGACTGGGCGTCCAGGTCTGGGGTGGGAGAACGGACAGGTGAGGGTTCACTGGTCTGCTCTGGACTGGGCGTGAACAACGCAGTGGTCGATTCATCCTCAGTCGTTGGCTGGTAGTCAGGGACGTTCGTTAGGAGCCTCTCCTCCTGTCCCTCAATCTCCCAGTTCTTCACATCCATCTCATCCTCCTCCTTCTCCCCCACTTCCACATGGCACTGAGAGCCGAGTGCCGCAGCCATTCTCTTGCGACTCTCTCCCAGGCCCAATAGGCAGTAATCGTGGTCCCCGTACCCACGTTGCATCCCACCTTTAGAGTCTGTGTCGCCCGTTTGGCCCATCCTACGCAGCTGGGCGTACAGTTCTGTCTGCTCTGGGAGCTTGCGTATGTGCGCCCGCGCCAGGCACGAGCTCTTGGTGGTGAGCTCAGCTTTTCCGTCTGGTTTGAAGAGCTCATCCTCCACTGGTTTATGAGGGGGTGTGGTGGGGGGAGTCAGGCCTGGAAAACACACGCTCATTAATCACTACGACACGCACATGAGCGCCACAACCAAATGCTCTAGAATATCACCAAACATTCTATTATTAGTCACAGTGCACAGCAGACATTCAATGAACATAATTAATGAAGAGTCATACACAATATAATGCATATGTAATATATAACAATGACAAATTAACTTGAATCAGTTCTTGTTTTTAGTGGTATCTCAGGCAATTATCACCATTGCTATTGCTCATACAAACCTCTAAAACTAAGTTCAGCAATGTATATAAAATGTTTAAAGTTTGGAGTCAGTACCATTTTTTTGAAAGAAATTAAAACTTTTATTCAGCAAAGACACATTGAATTGATCTAAATTTACAGTAAAGACATTTTTAATGTTACAAAAGATTTCTATTTCAAATAAATGGTGTTATTTTAAACTTTCTATTCATCAAAGAATCCTGAAAAAAAATAATACTGCATAACGGTTTCCACAAAAATATTAAGCAGCACAACTGGTTTTAACATTGATAGCAGCAAATCAGCATATTAGAATGATTTCTGAAGGATCATGTGACACTGAAGACTAGAGTAATGATGATGCTGAAAATTCAGCTTTGCCATCACAGGAATAAATTACATTTTAAAATATATTCAAATAGAAAACAGTTATTTTAAATTGTAATAATATTTCACAATGTCACTGTATTTTTGATCAAATAAATGCAGCCTTGGTAAATGCTCCAAAACATTTTTAAAAATCCTACTGACCACAAAGTTTTGAAAGGTAGCGTAAATATAGAGAATACTCATTATTTGCTATGTAGATGGTACAGGTACAGACTTGAACATTTGATTTGACAGGGTTCAGTAATAGCGCTAAGCCCTTTACCATTCAGTTAATTTAGATATTCACTAGCCTAATCTACAAACGTCATTACCTACATTCTAAATCCTGTGCAAATACTGGCAAGCTACTAGCATGCGTGAGAACATATGAGGTGAATCAAGAGCTAATTACTCACACAATGGCAAAAATGGCACACTTATAAAAATACCCCTGACTAAGTGCGTAATATTACCTGCTGTGCCACACAATTCCACACAGAGAGTCTGCTCAAAGGGTTTGTTGGCATACTGCGTGTCTCTGATCAGGAAAATATGGAGAGAGAATATGGAATCTATTAAACTTACATGGACAAGAAAAGGGATAGAGTCTCAACAACACAATGCATCAGATATACTGCTTTAGAGTTTTCTATTTGTAGCAGGGTTTGATTGATCTGGGTTGTTTTACTCCACATCACGTCTGAGCTATGTATATACATATAACAACAAATAACTGTAATTGGTAGAAGAACCTCAGGGCTATTTATATAAAAGTTTTACTGTGAGTGTTTTGTTACGTTAAAAACAGCGACTCTATAAGCCTCCTCTAGGCAATTTTAAAGATGGAGGGAGTCCAACGGTGGTCTTAAACTTCAGGCCTGGAAGTGTTCCAGGACTCCAGAATAGATTAGATATGAATGGAACACATACCCATTGGATTTGGATGCCAGCGGCAGACAGAGGCAGGACCGTTTCTCTACAATCAGAACAACAGACAGTGTCATTGTTAGAGATCAGCACACACAGCAGAGTACCTGAACTGGCTCTCTGAAGATGAAAAATGTGCTTAATGGTACATTATAGGTTCTTCAGATAAGCGTTTGGTTTCTGGATTCTTTAAAGCACCAGTAAATAGATGGTTTTCTAAAGAACTACAGATCAAAAACATTCATTGAGGAATTTAAAAGGATAAAGGAAAAACCATACCATATTTTTCTTTTCAAACGTTTCAAACATATCAAGGTTTTTGGGGTGTTATATTGACCTAACTAACCTATTTATTATCTTCTTTTTTTTTTAAATTATATATTATATATACACGTTTTATTTATTTATTTGTAATATTATTTAATATTATCTTATTTATTTTATTATTTTTCTTGCATGTGACAACAAAATATAAATTCCTGCACGCTACACCACACTGACAGTGTGGACAAAAGTTATATTTTTGTATTTATGTATATTTGATTATTTTCTTTTCTCATAGCCTAGAAATCTAGACGCACCCTAGCGGCAGCAAAAATCATTTCGCTGCCAGTGTGGTCTAGCAACTCTCCATAGACGTTTTAGCTGGAAAAACCAAAAACTGGTCAGGCCAATCACATCGTGTATAGAGTTGGTGGGCGGGCTTAACACAATGACGGCAGAGTTGCGACGGTCAGAGCAAGCTCGGACATATTCGGTTTGAAGTCATCCATCCTCGGATGCGGCGCCGCGCGCGCTGTTACAAAAAAGCTGTGGCGAAACGATCAACTTGTCATTTTTGCCGCACTCGTGCGGACGCGTCGAGTATAAAGGCTTTATTTACTCCGTGTCAGCGCGCGCTCTGATCGGTAAAGGACCTCCGAATCATCTCCAGCACTCCGAAGCACCACTACTCCGCCTCCGTTTCCCTCGTAAGCTGATATTAGTATTTAAACATTCTCTATGATATTATTATTTTAATGACAAAAAATGTTTTAATGACTCTTTCTCTCACACACACACACACACACACACATACTGTCTCTTTCTCTCTCACACATAGGCTAGTTATAAACTCTTTAGACTTTTTGACTAATGTCTTACCGTCCCTGCTGGATGGGTAATGGCCTTCAAAAGCCTTGTGGGAGTTGGTCTTCTGGCTGCTATCAGAAGGAGGCTCAGTGGGAGGATGTTTGACCACGTTCTCCTCTTCCCTGGATTGCCCAGCAATAGGCTCCAACCGCCCACAGTTCTCACGGACTTTCTTAGCGAATCGGCTGGGGAAGGAGGCTAGCCGGCGAGAACGCCTGACTGAAAAGGAGCCTTCCTCTGGCTCTGGGCTTTTGGGGCGCTTTGTGGCCTTATGCAAGCTCTCACAGTCTGAGTCTTTAGCTTCAGCTTTGGGCTGACGTGCAGGGGAGGAAGAAACGTCAGCGCCGGGCCGAGTCGCAGCCCCTCTGCAGTGGATATAAGGGGGGCTGTGCATTCTGTAAGGCTTGCTTACGTCAAAGGAACTGACTGCCTCTAGCATCTCCTTGAGCAGGGAGTGGGCTTTGGTTTCCCTGCGGCGAGTGAAGGGCACCCTCGGCCTGGTCCCACTGCTGGTCTGGGGAGCCGGTCTCTGAGAGCTTTGAGGAAGGCCACGTGGGACCTGCGAGCTCTCGGGCTTGGTCTTTCGTGCCAAAGCCTCACGCTCTTTGCGATCCCAGCTGGCCTGTTTGCGTATCGGCAGGCAGTATGTGTGCATGTATTTGATGAGCTCCACTACTGAGTGCAGTTCCTTCTCTGAGGAGAACTGAGGCTTCGGTGGCTCAATGCACACCATGCTCTCACTCTCGCTGCTGGATGACTCCTCCTCTTCCTCCTCCGAGTCACTGTCCTCTTCATCCTCCTCTTCCTCTTCCTCTGTGTCCTCGGCCTCCCGTGCGGTGGTGAGGTGGCGGTGGAGTTCAGTGCAAAGACGGCCGGTGGGCCTCACTGGTCGTGGCTTACGCTCCTGTGTGCTTGATTTGCCCTTCTGTGGAGGGAGGAGACGACATTGATATTAAATACAATAGAAATATAATAAAGCAAAGAGCCTCAAGAGTCTGTTTACATTATACAACCCCAAATCGGAAAAAGTTTTGTAAAATGCAATAAAATCAAGAATCTGTGATTTGTTCATTCTATTTAACCTTTTATTAGCTGACAAAAGTACAAAGAAACGTTTTCCAATGTTTGCACTGACCAACTTAATTGCATTTTGTAAATATGAACAAATTTTGATTTTGATGGCTGCAACACACCCCAAAAAAGTTGGGATAGAGACCAAATAAAAATGAAAAGATTATCCAAATTAGATTATCCAACTATTTTGAAACAGTCCACAATGAGCAGGTGAATTGGTAATAGTTGAGGGTATCATGTTTGGGTGTAAAAGTGCTTCTCAGTCTTTTTAAGCAAAGCTGGGTCATGGCTCATCACTTTGTGCCAAATATCTTGAGAGAATTGTCAAACAATTAAAAAATCACATTTCTCAATGCAAGATTGCAAAGCATTTATGCCTTTCATTATCTTCCATACATAATATTGTCACAAGATTTAGGGAATACAGAGAAATCTCAGTCTGTGTAGGGCAAGGCAGTAGACCTCTGTTGAATGTGCGTGACCTTTGAGCCCTTAGATGGCATTGCACAAGATACCATCATGCTACTCTGTCAAATACAGCCACATGTGCTCAGGAGTAATTTGAAAAACCATTTTCACTGAACACAGTCTGATGCTGCATCAAGAAATCCCACTTGTTACGCAAGGAGAAAGCTTTACATCAGTTCTATGTGGAGATGCCGGCGAGTTCTCTGGGCCTGAGCTCATCTCAGATGGTCTAGAAGAAAGTGGAAATGTCTGCTGTGGTCAGATGAATCCATGTTTCAGCTTGTTTTTGGGAGAAAATGGAATCGAGTTCTCAGTCCCAAAGACAAAAGGGACCAACCAGACTTTCACCAGCAACAGGTGCAAAAGCAAACATCTGTCCTGGTATTGAGGTGCATCATTGCAAACGGTATGGGTAACTTGCATTATTGTGAAGGTACCATTGACATGGAGGCATATATTTGGATTGTACAGAGACATAAACTGCCATCAAGATGACATCTTTCCGGGGAAGCAAGACAATGCCAGGCCTCATTTTGCATGTACTACAACTGAGTGGTTTCTAGACACTCTGCACCATGGAAGGGATATGCCTGCCTGTTTACTGCAGTCCAGATATGTCTCTTATGGAAAATGTATGACCCATCATGAAAAGGAGAATCTGTTGAGCGGCTGTCTTGTATCAGACCAGATTGGGCAAATATTCCACTAGTATCCTCAACTCCTAAATGATTAAAAAGTGTAATTAAAAGGAAAGGTGATGTGACACAGTGGTAAACATGTCTCTGTCCCAACTTTTATGGGGTGCGTTTCAGCCATCAAAATCAAAATTTGTTCATATTTACAAAATACAATTATGTTGGTCAGTGAAAACATTGGAAAACTTTTCTTTGTACTTTTGCCAGTTAAAAAAAAGGTTAAAAAGAATGAACAAATCACAGATTCTTGATTGTATTGCATTTTACAAAATGTCCCAACTTTTTCTGATTTGGGGTTGTAATTGTCGACATTACATTATTTTATTATGCTTGAGAGATTCTGTTTTTCAGTGCGTGATGCTGATTGGTGGATTACAACTTATATACATAATAAAAAGAAAAAGGTCAAATACATGCTGTTCTTTTGAACTTTCTATTAATCAAAGAATCCTGGAAAAATGTCTCACGGTTTCCACAAAAATATTAAGCAGCACAACATTGATTATAAGATATGTTTCTTAAGCAGCAAATCATCATATTAGAATGATTTCTGAAGGATCATGTGACACTGAAGACTGGAGTAATGATGCTGAAAATTCAGCTTTGACATCACAGGTATAGATTACATTTTAAAATATATTAAAATAGAAACAGTTTGTTTAAATTGTCCTAATATTTCACAATATTACTGTTTTACTGTATTTTTGTTATCAAATATATGCATCCTTGGTGCACATAAGAGATTTATTTGCAAAAACTTTTGAAATAAATGTATAAATTCGATATTTTACATACATTATAATTGTGTACTATTTATCTTTTTATATTTTATTTTGTGTGCGTGTGTGTGTGTGTGGTTCAGGTATACCCTACATAGATGGCAATATCTGAAATCCTTGTTCTTGTGGGGACATCTTTTGGTCCCCATGAGGAAAACAGCTTATAAATCATACTAAGTGATGTTTTTTGAAAATGTAAAAATGCTGAAAGTTTTCTGTGACGACTATGTTTAAGCATACATAATGCATTAGGGGATAGAATATACAGTTGTTTGGCCCAAAATGACCAACTAACATCATTTCACTAATCATATCATCAGCACATGGGAAAGTGTGAACAAGTAGGTGAAATCACTCTATCATTCTGATTCTGGCCTCCAAACAAAGGAAATTGCTGCAAAGAATATTGCACCTGAAAGAACCATTTACCAGATTATCAAGAACTTCAAGAAGAGAGGCTCAACTGCAGTGAAGAAGGCTTCAGGACATCCCAGAGTGTCCAGCAAGCGCCAGGACTATCTCCTCCTCAGGAGTCGGCTATGAAATCATGTCACCACCAGTGCAGAGCTTGCTCAATATTGGCAGCAGAAGGGTGTGAGCGCATCTGCACGCACAGTGAGCAGAAAACTTTTGGACAATGGCCTAGTGTACAGAAGGGCAGCAAAGAAGCCATTTATTTCCAAGAAAAACATCAAGGACAGACTTCAATTCTGAAGGAAGTACAAGGATTTGGAATGTGCAAAGTTATTTTCTGATGAAGCCCTCTTCCGACTGATTGGGACATCTGGCAAATCGATTGTCTGGAGAAGAAAAGGTGAACACTACCATGAGGCCTGTCGTGCCAACAGTGAAGCATCCTGAGAGACCATCCATATGTGGGGTTGCTTTTCATCCAAGGTAGTGGCTCTCTCGCAATTCTGCCCAAAAACACTGCCGTGAATAAAGAATGGTATCAAAACGTCCTGTACTTCTTCCACCGACCTAGGAGCAATTTGGTGAGGATCCATGCATTCTCCAGCATGATGGAGCACTATGTCACAAAGCAAAGAAGACAATGAAGTGGCACGGAGATTATTACACTGTGCCCAGGCAACTCACCGGATCTTAATCCCATTGAGGAGCTGAGGTTAATCCTCAAAAGGCGAGTGGAAAAGCAGAAGCCCACAAATTGGGATCAGCAATAAAAAGGCAAGAATGTTGCGACAAGTCAGGATTTGGCCTGGAAGCAGTTATCCAGCAAGCCAGAGCGAATTGCAGAGGTTATGAAGATGAAGGGTCAACACTGTAAATATATTGACTCTCTGCATATATTGAATGTTTTTACCAATAAAACCCTTTAAAACTTATTGTTTTGATAAAAGCTTATCATTGTCTATTATCAAATATTCTACAAATACTGAAGCAGCAAACTTTGCAAAACAGAGAATTTATATCACTGCTAATTCTTTTGACCACAACAACAAATCGACTTCAATCAGATTTTACAGAAATCTATTCAGATTTGAATTTGTTTTACACAGTTTTGCTGTCATAAAATAAAACAAACCACATGTGCCAAAACAGTACTATAATGACAGAGGTAATAAATCGAAACCATTATAGTGATAGGCATTTGCTCATCTATGTGGAATGTAACGAGCTGTCTTTTGTAACACCCTTACGAAATGACCAAACATGCGAGCTACGCAGGGCAGCTGAAACCCCTAGAGGCTATTTCAGAGTGTATTTTGCTCTAAGGTTACTGTGACAAATGTGCCGAGGTTTCGAGATATTCTCTTGGTATCTGAGGAACTATGCCTGTTTCTTTTTAAGTAATCTCAAACTCAGTGAACATTGCCCTTTAGGCTGTGGCTTTGGCATGACAGATGGCTGCACTCAACTCTAATGCGACGGCGGCCTTAGCCATGGTGCAATGTGCCAAAGCGTAGCGAGTGAATGAGGAACCACAGGCTTCACAGGCTTTAGAACTTTGAAGCGCAAATCCTCAGTGTGGTTTCTAAAGGCTGGCATAAGCTAATTAGGCATTAGCATTGCGGTGGGAATACTCCGCAGCGTAAACAGGTAGTGAATGGTATGCGCGCTTACACTGAGGTTGTTAACTCTATTTCCTATTATGTGAAGTCTTCTGTTTTCTCCACATGTTTTGAGTTTATCCTGCAATCACAGTGGCTGGAACTTCCTCTCACCTTCAGCACGGGCCTCACGGGCTTGACGTGCTGGTTCCTGCTGCTATGGCGATGCACGCTGCCGTCTTTGTGCGACTCGAGGCCCGCAGGCACATTAGGGGGCGACAACAGGAGCTTTTTTAGCTGTGGAGGGAATGAGAGGTGAGGGATTAAAATTTGATGGCACACGATGCATTTAAAACACAGATAGTACAAACCGAATCAATCTCTGATGTCTGCTTATCAAAAAAAGGTTTGCATTTTGTCTTTCAGCACTCAAACACAACACCAAAAGCTCCTGTATATTACATTTAAAGCAGTTCTGTGCTCTAGCCACTGAAAGAACAAAGACAGTTACTGGATATTCAAGAAAATCTGAAATGGAAGTCTGCCAGTCCTAAATGACCAGCGCAACCAGAGAAAGCAAAGTAAGAAGCAGCAGCACTGTGTTGTTTAGTCCCTTAAGCGATTGTTAATGTGCCAACTTGGCAGGTCTGTCCATGGCTCTCAGTGTCCATTGAGGAAACTGAAGGGGCGCTGAGGGTTTCAGCTTCTGTGTACCAAACTGTTTTGGCATGCGATGGCCATCTATGCCATGAAAACATGTGCTCCACTGTCCCTGTGCCTGGTGCTTCAATGCACCCCTTGTTTCCCACACAGACTGGCCTCATTTAGGGGTTGAGGTGTAACTGTGACCATTGCCAGCAGAGGGGGCTCTCAGCTCTTGGGTAAGACACTAACACCCAGACTAAACTTAGGACTTCAGGAGGAAGGAAGCTAAACTATACTGGAACAATTCCATTGTTACTGAATCATCTTACATGGAAATCCGTCTGTTTAGACTTGTACATTTCAGGCATTTTTAATAAGGATGCTAGAATCAAACGTGTCTGAAAAGTTTGCAAAAAGACTAAATAACTGACAAGAACTTTAGTTACAAAATATTGTAATGTTAACAAATTGAACCTTGTTGTAATACAAATGATTACATAAAATAACTATAACAATACCTCTTGGTTTAATGATCATTTTGTTACATACACTACTGTTAAAAAAATGTTTGGGGTCGATACGATTTTTAATCTTATTCATTACGACTAATGAACTGAGAGTTGAAAGAAGACAAAAACCTGACCCTGGATTGAACAGTGGTTGCACATCCTTGAATTAAATACCACAGCTATGGGTTTTTTGGCTTTGCTGTGAGAGGGAACTGCTAAGATATGTTTCAATTGTGCATAAGTCTGGGTTGCATTTATTTGATCAAAAACATATTAACAACAGAAATGCCGCACTGTTTTCTATTTTAATATATTTTAAAAAGTAATTTTTTTCTGTGATGGCAAAGCTGAATTTGCAGCATATATTACTTCTTATATTGTGTGTAATCGCGATGAATCGATTTGACAGCACTAATATATATATATATATATATATATATAGAGAGAGAGAGAGAGAGAGAGAGAGAGAGAGAGAGAGAGAGAGAGAGAGAGAGAGAGAGAGACTTATATAAACACAAAACTCTTATTTTTTTATTTGAAATGAATCGCGACATAGATTTGACAGCACTACTATATATATATATATATATATATATATATATATATATATATATATATACATATGCTAATATGCTGATTTCTTATTATGATCAAAGTTCACAAGAACAGCATATATTTGAAATAATGTTTTGTAACAATACAAAAGTTTGATCCAATTTAATGCACCCTTGCTAATAAGTCTTGATTTCTTAAAACAAAAAAAAATCATATTGACCTCAAACTTTTAAGCAGCAGGTTGTATTAGGCTACTGGTATGTTTTGTCCTAGTGGCACCATAAAAGTGCTAGTCTTATTCCCAGATAAATGCACATAATTTTCCTCAATTTAGGAATAATTTGTCCCTCCTTCAGACATCTCTTATATAATTTGGTAAGTTATCCTTTTTTTGGTAACTCTGTAACAAGTCCAAAAGGAGGCAATGATTATCTCAGTAATCAGATGGTTCCCTTTCATGGAAACCAAACAATGTGATCCTAGAACAATGTGAATTGTGAAAGGTATTGAGTGAAATGTAAAACGGTCATTACTGTAAGTACTACCAATCTCTATGGTAAAAATCACAAAACACACTTGACAAACTGGAAAAAAAGCTATATTACAATACAGGCCATGCCAACCAATTGTTCAGCATTACAGGAAAAAGAAGTGAAAGAAGGAGGGGAAAAGAGAGTAGAAAAGAAAAGCAGTCAAACGGGTAATAACTTTTATAACTGGTTTCACAACGTACACAGATTAAATTGCTGGGGTTTTTGAGCTGAGAAGAACAGATAACAACAGCATCTTATTCCAGGAAGTGGCGTCTTAAGAAAGAGATGAGCAAGAGAGAGTAGGGTCATCTCACAAAAGGTGGGAAAAGGCAGGAAAGAGCGCTGCTGTAGAAGTCCATTTTGTCTCCTGAAGGATTAAGAGATCTGGGAAGTAGACATAAGCATTCCCCTAAAAAGTACCATGGTATTGCCATGTCTTTGGACACTATCATGATGGTAATGTCATGGGATTTGTTGAAGTACACTATAGTTCAAAAGTTAACTGTTTTTGAAATAACGCTCTTATGCTCACCAAGACTGCAATTTTTTATCAAAAATATTGCAAAAACAGTGATATTGTGAAATAAGAACCACTCATGACTCCATTACTCTAGTCTTCAGTGACACATGATCCTACAGAAATCATTCTAATATGCTGATTTGGAGCTCAAGAAACATTTCTTGTTAGTATCAATGTATATATATATATGTTGCCAGGTATCCATTTTATTGCCACCTGATACCACCACAGTACTTTCTTATAAGGCTGAGAGGAAGATAAGAGAAGTGGAATGTGTGGGGAAATGAAAGGCTAGAAAAAAGTCAAAGACAAAAAGTCCATATAAACTGTGTCCATGTTCCTCATCCCTGCCTGTGAAGAGGATTCTTTGTTAGATTGGTTGCTTAAAAAAGAAACAAAAAGCCCAAAATGAGAAAAATTCAGACCTGTGTTGCCTATCATACCCATGCTGTGGGGTAGTCAGAGGCCCATCCAAATCCACCTTAAACAGGAAGGAAGGGTTCTTACTAGAGATGGTTCTTCCGTCTCTGGGCTCAGTGAGCCAGGGAAGTGCTCACTGTCCAAAGGGAGATCATCTTCCTCCTCCTCGCCCTCCTCAGGGTCGTCCCCTAGGGAAGGGAACACAGACAGACCCCCGACTCCGTCCTCAACAATGCCGTCCAGGCTGTCTGTGAGGGCAGCGAGCAGTGCCGCATTTTCTTCCTGAAATAACAAGAAAGAAATTAAGGCAAATGCTCTGCAACGCAAAGATCAGGAGAACCTACATGTACACAACTTGCATATGTCTAGTATATGTCTTCTTTTTTTTATACCTCTGTTTAAGACAGAAAAAGTAAAGAATGACAGAGGTTATTCATAAAAGAGGGGAAATCAGGATTGGGACATGTTGCAGGCTAGACTCAAACCTGCAACTCTCACATGAGCATCATTGCTCAAAATATCATCACAATGTATATATGCACAAACCACTATGCTGTGGCTATGTGGCTAGCAGTGATATTTCAATCTTACAACATTGTCATTCAGTAAAAGGTTTACTTTTAAAGGATTAATTCGCCAAAAAACAAATCAATTCTGTCATTTACTCATCCTTCATCTACGAAACACAAATGAAGATATTTTAAATATAATTGTTTCCCTTGATTGAAGTTCTACGCAAACAAAACGTTCATGTATCAAAAAGTACAAAAAGGCATCGTAAAAGTAAAAGGCTTTTATTCACATATAAACATTGATCGCACAACAAATATGGTTAACAGAAGCTCAAACCTGCTTGCTTGATGCCTGAGAAGAAATGAGGTTTGTTCTTGTGTCAAGCAAGGCGGAACCTGATTTCACCAAGTGCAAATTGTTCCTGGATCAACATCTTTGTTGGTCCTGGAAGAACATTCTAAACAACCAATCAGATTTGAGGGACAAGTTTACAGTTTAAGTCAATGTCAACAATCAGGGTTTGGTGCTTCTACATCAGAGTTATTCACATATAATTTCCCTCTGATTTTAGGGATAATTTATGGGTAGGGTCAGGATTAGCGGTAGGGATATTGTTGGGATTATATTTTCGGACAGGAATGTTGTTCCAGGATCAAAAAAATATATTAACTCGGTAAAATCAGGATGTGCGGGTTAAGCTTCCATTTACTATATGTGAACTATGTATGTACATAGATCAATGTTTATATGTGAATAAATTGAAATAATTAAATCTGTTAATCTCCATATAAAGCAACTGTGTCTCTTCTGAAGCCTTGTATTAAACATCTCAACTCTTTACTTGAACGATGTCTTTTTGAACTTTTTGAAGCATGAAAGTTTTGGTTGTGTGGACTTTTAATGTATGGACAAAAATGATGAGAAAATATCAAAAATAGTCTTATCGGTTTGGAAAAACATGAGGGTAAATAATATTTTAAATTTCATTTTGGGGTGAATTAAGCCTTTAAGACTGTTTTCCCTATAATCTTTCCCAAATTGCGCCCTCAACCTTTCAAGTCCAAACTTGAAATTCTGAATCGTTTGTTTTTGTCAGGGTAGTGAACACACAAACGCCATGAGCCTGCAAAATCAAGTGCAAAATTTGGGACAAAAAAACATAGAGCGAACTAGATTTGTAATATCCCCTAACTTTATGTATAAGCAATAGTAATAGTGCTGTTTTACCACTTATCAGAACACAATAAACTAAGTACAGATGATGGTTCCCACCTCAAATAGCTCTGGGTCTCCAGCACTGTACTGTATGGATGCAGGAGAGTGATCCGAGTGCTCGTTGCACCAATGCAGCTCACTGAGGCAGTTCACTGAGTCAAAATCACTGGCGTCCAGCTGCGAGAGGTCAAAGTCAGGGAAGTCAGCATCAAGGCGGTCTGAGCAGACCTCCTCTTCCCCATACTGAGAATGAAAAAAAGAAAAAAATGATAGGTCAAAAGGCCAACATCAGAGGACATCTGAAAAGAATGCACTCCGCTGTAAACGCTGGGAAATCAATAGACATGCCGTGACTGGATATCCTGAGCTCGTAACAGTCATCTGAATTAGTACTAACCTTCAGCACAACTTTATTAAGGCTAATGAACTGAGAGTTGAAAGAAGACGAAAAGCTGACCCTGGATTTAACAGTGGTTGCACATCCTTGAATTAAAAACCACAGCTATGGGTTTTTGGGGTTTGCTGTGAGAGGGAACTGCTAAGATATATGTTTTAAATGTGCATACGTTAGGAATAAGTCACCAATAAGTTTTTGATTTTTAGAGTGGCTGCGCTTTATTTAACCAGCTGACTTTAGCTGTTAGACAGTTTTCACGGTAAAACCTTCTCTCAGGAGTTGTGCTCTTAGCCAGTGTTTCATGCTAAAAATAGTTTAGAAATCACTTTTCTCAAGACCCCTGCTTTCTGTTCCATGATGCTGCACTCCGTCAAACCGCTTTTGAACATGCATCTCATTGGGGTCAGGTGAACCCAAACCAGTTTAATAATAGGGCTTCTTTAAAATAGATTAGTTAACTAATTGTTCAGGCAACTTACAGGCTAGTTGATTTTTACGCAGTTTCGCACATTCACAACATGTGTGAAGAGAGAGAAAATGTGTGTGTGAGAGGGAGAAAGATACAAAAAAATGTGAGTGTGTGTCTGTGTCAATAAGTACTGTGAGAAGGGAAGTGGTCTAAACCCCAGGGGTACAGCAGAAAACCACACATGCCTTAATATCTCCATGTGAGCGATGGAGCTGTGCATTTTGCACTCGGATCATTTGGCTTGTTTCTGTCTGTTTGTAGAGAGGATACCTGGAGGACACCTGGTGTGATGCTGCCTCGGTTTACAGGAGGCCGTAGCATGAATATTCTACAGGGCCGCTGCGATGCATTTTTGATGACTGCTTGCACAATTTCTCCCCTCTCTGTTTCACAGAGCTGATGATTGCACTTATTCAGTTCCCTTTATTTTCTTACACTAGGCCTGGTCAAGCGGGTGCCATTTATGTCTGTTCACCCAAATGCTGTTTTAAAATGCAGCAAATCACGTAGAATCAGACAGCAAAGATTTTCTACAGAGTCTCTAAAGCACCTACTGTATTACCAGCTGCTGAGCTCTTATGAAATGAGGTCACATACTGTAGCCCATACCTCTGGACTGTTTTAGCCCAATCTTATTATATCTGCAGCATTTTAATCTCCTTCACACTAAGCTATTGTTGAAAAATTCTTCAGATGAAATCTGGTGTTGAAAACAATGAGAGAGAATGATACCAATACATTCACCTACTGTCCCATTTATGAGTTTAAGTGATTTATAATGATATTGATTTGAATCTTTTTTATTTAATAGCATTTTTATTCAAGTGATTAGTCATTAATATATTTTAGACTACCGTTCCAAATGTTGGGGTTGGTACGAGTTTTTAATGTTTTTGAAACATTATGCTCACCAAAGCCGCATTTATTTGATCAAAAACACAGTTAAAAACAGTAATATTGTGAAATATTATTACAATTTAAAATAATCGTTTTCTGTTTTAATACATTTTAAAATGTAATTTATTCCTGTGAATGTGATGGTAAATCAAGATTTTCAGCATCTTTACTCCAGTCTTCAGTGTCACATGATCCTTCAGAAATCATTCTAATATGCTGATTTGCTTCTCATTATATATATATATATATATATATATATTATTTTTATTAAATTTTTAAAGGACATTTTGCATTTCTTATTATTATCAATGTTGAAAACTATATAATATAACTAGCCTATAATAATTTTGTGGAAACCATGACATTTTTTTTTCCAGGATTCTCTGATGAATAGAAAGTTCAAAAGAACAGCATTTATTTGAAATATAAATCTTTTGTAACATTATCAAACATTTGTCTGAGCGCAAACATTTTGAACGGTAGTGTATAATAATAACAATATGCCATTATAAGTTGTTTCGCTATCTGAATGGTCACAAATATATTTTAATTTTAGTAATTAGAAAACTGATTAGATTAGCAGAAAAGTTTGAATATCTCCAAGCCTATTATTTGTCTGTCTCTAATAATACAGTGAGATGTGGTTATAAAATGAATGCATGTTTACATCAATGTCAAAAGGAATCACAGCAGTAAGGCTTCTGCAAATGCGAAAAATTAAAAAAACAGGAAATCCATTCCTACTTGCAGCATTTTAAAGGGACTACTTGAGATGCCCTGAAGGTGTTGTGCATGTGCATGTGCATGTGCACGAATGCAAGTGTAATGAAGGTGTTCGCCCATCATCCAACTCACACACACAGAACATGCAAACACACACACTTAGCACTCTCTTCGCATCCCCCTCACATGATGCCACTGACTCATCTCCGTCCTTTGAGACCCCCTCCCCAGGAGCACAAGAGCTCCAGCTAATCAATCTTTTTTTTTCCCCAACCTTTTTATTCTCTCTTGCTCTCTTTTTCTGTGTTATGGAGAGTCTCAATATCAATCAATAAAAATCTCCTTGGGCTCTGAAGGTTTAAGGTCACAAGCGCGAGTGTGAATGCTGCAACGGTAGGGCTGGGCGGTATGATGGTATATACCACGAAACAGTAGAAGTGACTTTGCTATTCCGGATATACTGTCGGTTTATCCATTTAACCATCAATATATACATTTACATATCAATTTCAAGTATGCAAACAACATGTGTTACAGTGATATAAAATTACACATATTGTGATATCTATACCATCAAAATCGGGGTCATATCACCCATCCCTATGCAAGAGCAAACAGAAAAGCTCCATGGCTGCTGATGTTCCAGAGAAGCAGCATGCGTGACCTCTTATCAGATGCAAACGTTCTATGAAAAAGAGTAGCAGAGGTGCTGTTCACACGTGCTGGAATCGTCTGCATAACTCACACGCTGATAAAACCTCCGGTTCACCCCATTAACAGCATGATCATGCTATTACGAGGCGACAAAATGCAGTCACATTTCTAATGCACGAAAAAAGTCCCACCAGCTAGTGCTGGACTGATGCTATTAAATGAGCAAAAGTTAATGAGCGTAGCTGACCTACTCAAGGCAAAAGCGATAAGGACTAATCAGTGATCTGTGTAGTCAAGAATGACCTTTCTATTCACTCTCCTTTAAAAAAATATAACTTTTCCATGAATCTCATAACAAAAAAGGTCATTACACATAAAAATCAGGCAGCGAGGGGTGATTTACGGACATATCTGGCATATAAGAATATGCATAGCAAGCCCGAGTCCAAGGGCACACCAAGATAACTCAAAAACAAGCACGTAACAGCATATAGGTTTACAGCATCCCCCTGCATGTTACGAAAGCTCTAGCCATGTGGTGCAGGAGTACTTGATCCTCAAAACACAACCATACAAGGTTGACCCACTGTTGACAGTGTACTGTCAGTCCCTGGGCATCTTTTCACGGTATCTGGGGAATTTTATGAATACATTTAAGGATAATTAGAGGCAAAGTATGCAAAAAAAGAGAAAAGACACAAAGTGTGACCTTTACTTTGTTTGTCATTTCCTACTGCAGGGCGATCAAATGCAGCATCTAAGACAGAACGGGTTACCTGGGATTTCTGTTATGGATGTATAGATAGACCGATTGATTGGCTGATTGATCTGAGCGCAAGTCAGTTACACAGCTATTGTAGTAAAGCTGCAGGTTACTCATTCAATCCTTGCATTTACGAGCTAATAGGCTCTTATCTGGGTGCCCTGTCCCCTCTGAGCCTACTCCTATCTAAGATGTGTTATATATAGCTGTTATCCTCAGTCTCATGACTGGCTCTTACACAAGCTGCTTGTGACGGGCCAGGCTTTAAATGCTGCCCATGCCAAACGCAGATGGAACTAGTGGCTCTCTCCTAAGCCTCCCTCCCCAGAAACAAAGACACAGACATGCACATATGCAGCCCTTTGAGACACATCCTGCCTGGGCTGTTAAATGGATTCCCTCACGACTCAATCCATGAAAAACTTGGGTGTAATAGCTAGCCAGCCTCAAACAGGAAGGATTTTGTAGCACCATTTCTCCAGAAGCAACGGGTTCCCGAAGTGCACAGTACATCTTGTCGACCATCCTCACTTACTGTTTGACTTTTGCTCATGTGATGGTAAATTAAAGAAAGATGTAAAACCGCAACTCTCCTAAACCCCAAATTGGTGGCTAAACTGAAACAGGAGCAATTAAATTAGCTCTTTGCATATAGTCTTTAGAGGAGATTTCCGCCAAGGCCTTTACTGCAAACTCAAATTAACAGCGGACCGATAGAAGTAGGGCAGTTAAAGGAAGATCTGGGCCACTCGTGTACAGTTGAATGAGACCGATAAAAGACAGATTCATGACACCTCATTGGCCAAGTCTCAGGTTTGGCAGGAACCTTTCTTTTCTATCCCTTTAGGAATTAACTGTCTGCAGCGCACACAACCTTGCTATCCCAGCAGGCCACCTTTATCTTGTCTGTTCTCAAACCAGCCTAGCCCTTTAAATATAGTGCTTATTGAACCCATTCATCCCTCAGACCTTTGCTAACAATTCCCATGTAGTAAATTTCCTCACACACTCTCTCAAGAATTCTCAAGAAGTTTCGCAATCAATAGTTGAAACATTGCTCGATGTAAATAAAAATGGCAAAATTCAATTTATGCCTCATTTTACCACAATTTAACCATGTTATCACCCTTAAATTTATTGAGTGAATGTATTAGATAATTCTAATACAAATTTTTTTGTATAGCGCTTTTCACAATACATATTGTTTCAAAGCAGCTTTACAGAAAGTGCATTTCAGAAATGTACATAGAAAAAAACAGTTAGTTAATCATGTATTAATTTAGGGCATAACATATCGCCGGCGTTGAGTCGTCTCTTCACAGGCGTTTATCTGGCGTTTG